AAAAAAAAAAAAAAAGGAATCTGAGATCTAAAGATTGAAATTTGAAGCTAGCCCTGGCAGACAAATCTGTGAGATTCTTACCTCTAATTAGTCACCAAAAGGCTGGAAGTGGAAGTGCAGCTTAAATGGTAGATAGAGCACCCGTGGTGAGCAATAAAAGCCAAGCAAGAGTTCAAGTCCCTGAGTTCAAGCCCTGCTACCATCACAATTAAAAGCAATTATTCTTGCTTCTGGCTTAGAGAAAATGTAAGCATTTGTCATCTTGAAGTACTTATATATAAATGAGTATCTGTAAGTGTAAAAAAAATCCTATTTGATTTCTTTAGAAGGAATAACCTTGACTTTTGTGAGTGTTATCTATGGTGTTTGCTAGCTTGAAGCCTATCATAATGCATCAGTTGTCATGAGCAGCAGCAGATAGATCAGGTACTAGCCAGAGTCTAGTCATATTCACTGTCCAGCAGATGAGCCTAGACTAAGGCAGAAACCCTGGTTTGTAACTCCAGCACTCTTATTAAAAAAAAAAAAAAAAAAAAAAAAACAACTTTCTGTTCCCCAGGCAACTGAATAAGCACAATGCCTTAGTTTCTTCATTTGCAAAATAGCCTATGTACCTTACCTGGTGGCTTGAAGTAAACACTGTCTTTTTATTGTAGAAAAATACTTATAAACCTGGTGTTTGTTTTCACATTTGTAACCCTAGTTCCATAGAGAGACTGAGAGGATCAATTAATATGATTTGAGGCCAGTCTAGTAGGCAGAAAAGTTCATAAGACTCCATCTCCACAGAGGGAAATTGGACAGAGTGGAATATGCCTGGAATCTCAGCAATTCTGGGAGCTTAAAAGTAGGTGGAACCCTCACCTTGGAGGAGAGAGAGAGAGAGAGAGAGAGAGAGAGAGAGAGAGACCCTACCCTAAATCTAACCAGTGGAAGATATGGCTCAACATTATCTCACTGACCTAGCAAGTACAAGGTGCTGAGTACAAACCTCTACTACTGCAAAACTAAGAAGGAAGGAGAGATTATTCCAGTTTTCAAAATTGATGTCAACCTACAACCTGAAGCTCAGTTGTTTCAGGAATGTATTGAAGCAAGTTAGAGCTGGCCCCTTTATTATAGCCATGGAAATTTTGCAGAAATTCAGTAGATGGCACTCTCTGCTATTTTAGAATTGATGACAGAATTGTCTGTTATTCATAGAACAGAGATGAAGATGGTGAATAAGGCTGCATAGAGCCCAGGGCTTATACAGTATGTAGTATGCTTATTGAAGATTATGTTGAACAGAAGAGAGGTGAGTCTTTCTGCTTGAGGAATTTTCCAGAGAGCGCAGTAGCTCACATGGTTTCAACCTGAGCATTTAGAGGAATAGCTTTGCCCAATGGTTTTAATAACCTTAGGAAAGTTAGCCTGAGAATATATACAAATATTCAAATAGAATATCTGTGTTAAACAGAATATCATATGAGATCTTTTCTCTCCTGACATTTCATCAGTTGTTATCTCTTAACCAAAACAAAAGACTTATGTTCTGAATAAACAGGTATCTTACAACCCATCTAAAACCCACCAATGTGGTATATAATAACCTGGGGAAAAGGAGGAGAATCTAACAAGAGGATATTTAATTATTTTTATTCAATTTCTTTTTATGTTAAGATAATAATGTGTGACAAGTGGATGTTAGTGTTTTTTTCATAATGGAGATTCACAGAAGAAAATGAATTGGGGGTAGATGAATTTTTAAGTCAAGGCTCTGAATCTTCTGAATTAGCTTTCTTTGTCATCCTTTGATGTGACAGTTTACCTTCAGTGTATCTCATTAATGTAGGCAACCTTTCAATCTTACTTTTCTTTTAGATTGACTGATGAAACATTTAGTTTGGCTGAAGAAACCTGTAATTCAAATCCAGCCATGGTTAGGAGGAAAAAAATTGCCATCAGCATCATCTTTTCCCTGTGTGAGAAAGAAGAAGCACAACGGAACTTCCAGGACTTCTTTTTTTCTCATTTCCCCTTGTTTGAATCTCACATGAACAGACTGAAAAGTGCAATTGAAAAGGTACTAATGATTATATCCACTGTCAAGTACAGGTGATTGTGGGACTTTAAAAATGATGAGTCTCTGACTATGTGTCAGATTACTTTCCTAAGGAAGTTAAATCATCCCCACTAGTGATGGATCCTGAAGCTCTTTGGTGCTATATATCAAGATACTTGCTGCTTTAGAAAAGGAAATTTCTGCTTTCTGCTGAATGAGAGCATTATTAGTTTGAGAGCTTTTAATTGATCATAGTATCAATTTTTATTGAGGCTAAGTAGGTAAGTTATAAAGGAATTTCTTCTCAGGGAGTAATTTGGCACACTTTCTCTCCCATTAAGGTCATGATCTCCTGTAGGAAGATAGCAGAATCAGGTCTACGCGTCCAGTTTTATGTCAGCCGCCTGATGGAGGCTCTGGGAGAATTCAGGTAAAGTACAAGGTTTGGAAAACCTAATGGGAAATTGATAAGCAGCATAACTAGCGTTAGCTGTGGATTTTAATATTGCAGAGAAACTCTTTAAACAACTGGGAGACTGACAGTTATTAGTCATTTTAGTGCCACACTTCAAGATTAAAAACATATTCACAAAACATGTGAATAATCTAACACTAAAAAATATCAGTATGGTAAACAGTACTTTATATGATTCTTCTAGCAGAATGAATGGAAAAAATTAATAGGTATGTCTATAAGTCTATCACACAAAAACTCTAGGGGAAAACACTACTTACCCCATCTGACAGGTGGAAACTTGTGTTCAGAGGTGGTTTTCTATCAAAGTACACATGGACATGTGATGTGTGTCACCAAGACCTATATTCCAGTTGCTGGGACAGTCCTAGTTCACATCCAGTGCCTTCCTGTAAGTGTCCTTGTCTAAATATGAAGTTATCTGATGGTTGCTTTCCTGTGTTGTGTCTCCCTGGAGAGTTTCTAACAGATAATCTTTGGAAACTGGTTTTCTAGAGTCCTTGTTCCTGGTGTCTGGGTAGAAAGGCAATCTACTCTGGGTAGCAGGTGGGAATCTATTGAGTCAAACTATTAATTTACAGACAGGGAAAAAGTATTTTATAGTTGAGAAAATATTAGAACATTTTTGTGATGCTTATGGTATATTTATAATGCTAATTCGAGCAAAATCACCACTCTTTTTCTGAATTCTGGGCTATATGTAAAATATTGTGACAATAGTAAGACTTACGTCACATATTTGTGAACTATTATGAAATTGCGTGTGTGTGTGTGTGTGTGTGTGTGTGTGTGTGTGTGCGTGCGTGCGCATGCACGCTGGTCCTGGGGCTTGAACTCAGAGTCTGGGCTGCTCAAGGATAGCTTTCTACCACTTGAGCTACAGCTCCATTTCCTACTTTTTCATGGTTAATTGAGAAGAGTCCCAGAGTTTTCTACCCAGGCTGGCTTTGAACCATGATCCTCACATCTCAACCTCCTGTGTAGCTAGGATTACAGGTGGGAGCCACTAGCACCTGGCTGAAGTTGCACTCATTGATGGCAATTTGATAATTAGAAAACTGTTCATACTTTATGTGGGCAGTGCTGAATTTATTTCTCTGCAATTGTCAGACTCAAAACTAGTTTTTGTTTTAGAGTACAGGTGCTACTTTAATGAAAGAATTTTTCAGGGGTCAAGAAACTGAATATACAGAACCAGAAATTTGTACCAAGTATATCTTTTTCAGAAATGGTGACAAGATTAAGTGCTAACATTCAGAGACTTTAGTTTTAGTAAGTGAATCCTAGTACTGTGTAATTGTAACTTGTCACTTCAGCCTAACTTGGCAACCACTGCTCTTTTTGCCAGGATGGGTTTCTGTTCTTTCCCAATTCTTTCATACACGAAGTTAGCAGTCAAATCGGAATGTGTTTCATCGCTCTTGATTTGGGAAAAGTAAATGCATTATAAATTCAGAGTTACTCTCCTGACTGCTTCCACCTCTTGAATGCTGAAATTATACTTTGGAATCTTGTTCTCTCCCTGTACTGCTTTACTATAATAATGGTGTGTGGAGGCTGGGAAGGTGGCTCAGTGGTGAGTGCCTGCCTTGCATGCATGAGGCTCTGGGTTTGATTCCTTAGCACCACATAAACAGAAAAAGCTGTAAGTGGTGCTGTGGCTCAAGTGGTAGAGTGCTAGCCTTGAGCTGAAAAGCTGAGGGACAGTGACCAAGCCCAGAGTTCAGGCCCTGTGACTGACCCCCCCACCTTCCTTCCCCCAAAAGAAGGTGTGTGGCACCAATGGCTCAAGCCCAGGCAGAGAAAGTTCTGTGGATTCCCTCTCCAAAATAACCAGCAAAAATCAGGGCTGGAAATGTGGCTCAAGTGGTAGAATACCTGCTTAATTAGTATGAGTCCATGACTTTTCAAAACCTGATGCCACCAAAAAAAAGAACCACCCCCAAATCCAACATACATACATACATGTGTGTATGAAATAACAAAAGCATGTAGTTGGTTTTTGTTTTTGTTTTGGTTGGTTGTAGAGCCTGAACTCTGGACCTGGACTCTGTCCCTCACCTCTTCAGCTCAAGGCTAGTGCTCTACCACTCAAGCCACAGTGCCACTTCCAGCTTTTTCTTATGTGGTACTGAGGAATCAAACCCAGAGCCTCATGCATGCAAAGCAAGTATTCTACCATTGAGCCACCTTCTCAGCCCCAAACCATGTAGGTTTTAATGAAAAATATACATTACAACCACTTAAAACTTAAGGTGTAAATTCTGGCAAAGAACATTGTGAATATTTTATTTATTGGTGCTGACACTGGGGTTTGAATTCAGAGCCTCACACTTTTGCTTAGCTTTTTTGCTCAAGGGTAGAGCTTCACTATTTGAGCCACCCCTTCACTTCTGGCTTTTTGCTGGTTAGTTGGAGATAAGAGTTTCTGAAAATTTTGTCTGTCTGGGCTGGCCTCAAATCTCAATCCTCAGATTTTAGCCTCTTGAGGAACTAGGATTACGGATGTAAATTTTGTATACCAACTGGTGTACTAGGCCATCTACCCAAGCCATAATTTTTTAATTATTATTATTATTATTATTTTTGTCGGTCGTGAGGCTTGAACTCTGGGCCTGGGCACTGTCCCTCAGCTCTTCAGCTCAAGGCGAGTGCTCTACCACTTGAGCTACAGCGCCACTTCCGGTTTTCTGGTGGTTTATTTGAGATAGGAGTCTCACGGTCTCTCCTGCCCCGGCTATCTTTGAACCGAGATCCTCAGATCTCAGCCTCCTGAGTAGCTAGGATTACAGGCGTGAGCCACCAGCGCCCGGCTAATTAATGTTTTTATATTAAAGATGGCAATATTTTTAGGTAATGGATATTTGTCAAAAATCTCTAAATAGTCATTGTCCTGTAAAAGCAGCCATAAACAATATGTAAATTGCTGTGCTAAGATTAAATATTGTTTATGTATCCCTTCTATCTTCTCTAGAGGGACTATCTGGAATTTATATTCTGTTCCAAGGATAGCTGAACCAGTATGGCTTACCATGATGTCAAGCACTTTGGAAAAAAACCACCTGTGCCAGCGCTTTCTCAAGGAATTTACAATTTTGATAGAACAAATCAACAAGAACCAGTAAGCTTCAACTCTCTGGAAACATCTGTGCAGATTCCATAGCTAGTTCATGTACTATATAGAACATGGTTTATTCTGTTGAATGATCTGTTTTATTCCATTTCTCCCAAGGTTTTTTGCTGCCTTGCTGACTGCAGTGTTAACCTACCACCTGGCCTGGGTACCAACCGTCATGCCTGTTGACCACCCTCCCATTAAAGCTTTCTCAGAGAAGCGCACCTCTCAGTCAGTGAACATGTTGGCCAAAACACATCCTTATAATCCTCTCTGGGCACAGCTAGGTTAGTACCTAAGTTAACTGTTCAGAAACTAAATGGGACAAAATGGCAAAATGCTAGATTTTGTAGCTATATTGGCTATCCAACCCAGTTATTCAGGGATTGTTCCTCAGCAAGCAGGAAAGGAGATTGGTGACAGTTTGTAGTTGTCAGAAGAACTACTAACATTTCTCTCTTTTCCCCTCTACAGCAGCTTTGTTATACTCTTATAAAGCAGTGTAACTAAGTGTAAATAGTATAGTGGCTATTTACTCTGGAACTACTTAGACTTTGGGCCCGAAAATTCTTTTGGCTGATGAAGCAGGTAGAAAGAATTGTTTTAGGCATTGTAGGATGTTCAGCAGCAACCTTGGCCTCCACTCACTAGATGCAGTAAGTAACCCACTCTGCCCCAAATTGTGACAATCAGAAATGTCTCCAGACATTGTCAAATGTTCCCCAGGGAGAGGGGCAACATAATAAACTCTGTGACATCTTTAGCCCTAGAGGATGTCTTGAATGGGGAAAAAAAAGACAAAAAAAAATGACAGTGCATTCTTACCATCTTTCTCACTAGCATAAATCCAAAGTTTTCTATGTTCTTGCATTCTTGTGATTAGTGGTGGAAATTACTTCCTCATTTATGTAGAGATAAGAATTGAGTGCTTTGTTGTGATTGGTTATAGAATTTGGGTTGTGTATCTGGATTCAAGTGATAGAGAAGTGTGCTTTAGAGCTTCACATTCATCAAACATTAAAATGACAAAATAAAACTCATGCCATATTCTGTCCCTCACCTGTACTGCATTCCAAGAAGCAGAGTTGTGTAACACAAGCTGCTTATTCTCATGAAGCCAGCTGCCTCATGGATTTCATATGATTTCAAAGCATCTTGATTACTGCTTTCATGGGATAGGGGTATGCAAGGGAATACAAGACAGAAGATAACATGTAGGTTTAAAAAAAATAAAGATGGGTCTACTCTGGATCCCAGATTCTATGGGCAAGTTATTTAACCTTAGAATTCACTTCTCTTTTTTGGTACCGGGAATGGAATCTAGGGCCTTTCAGGTGCAACATAAGTGCTCTGAACTGAGCTACCATACCTGTTTTTGTACTTGTCAAATAAGGTGGTTGAGCTGGGCGCCAGTGTCTCATGCCTGTTATCCTAGCTATTCAGGAGGCTGAGATCTGAGGATCATGGTTCAAAGCCAACCTGGGCAGGAACATCCGTGAGACTTTACCTCCAGTTAATGATTAGAAAACCAGAAGTGGTGAGTGGTAGAGCGCTTGTCTTGAGCTGAAGAGCTCAGGGACAGCACCCAGGCCCAGAGTTCAAGCCCCATAACTTACCAAAAAAAAAAAAAAAAGGTAGTGATTAAGACTTCATGATTATTGTGGGATAAAATCATTTATATAAAACCACTTCTGTTAGGAGATATTAGTGCTGAAAATATATATTAAAGGCACTTAGGGTGAATGTGGGGAGAGATGGGATCTTCTATGGAAGTTTACTTTAGTAAATGTTCAGACTGAGAAAGATTATTCCAGTCTTAGTAATAGCATGTTTTAATAACTATAACAAAAGCTGACACTATGAGCCAAACACTGTTTTAAGTGCTTCTTAAACACACCAGTTTTATATGGCAATTTTACACACCTGCTGATGTGTGAGTCACTGATGGGTGATTCATTACATACTAATGAGTGTTAAACTCTCTCACTCTTACCCTATTGTCTTTACTCTTTAGCTTTTAAGATACCTTCTTGTGTTTGTACCCTGGGTCATAAAATGTGAAAGAGAAATATGTATGGCAATAATAGGTTTTGTTTTAGATGAAGCAACTGAAGAATTTATGGGTTGTAAAACCATTTAAGCCGAACAACCGGTAACTCACCTATAATCGTAGCTACTCAAAAGGCTGAGATCTGAGGATTGTGGTTCAAAGCTGGCTCAACAAGATACATCTGAATCTCCAATTAAATGTCAAAAGCCAAAAGTGGAGCTGTGGCTCAAGTGACTGAATGCCAGTTTTGAAAGCATGAGCATGAGCCTCTGAATTCAAGCCTAGTACCTGCATCAATAAATAAATAAATTTAAGTATAATACTTCATTTTTATTTTTTATTTTATTTTGTCAGTCCTGGAACTTGAACTCAGGGATATAGGCACTGTCTCTGAACTTTTTTTTTTTTTGCTCAAAGCTAGCACTGTACCACTTGAGCCACAGCATCACTTCTGGCTTTTTTTTTTCCTATTGTCCTGAGGAATCTAACCCAGGGCTTCATGCATGCTAGGCAAGCACTCTACCACTAAGCCACATTCCTAGCCCCATAGTTTATTTTATAATACTTCATACAAAATGAGCACAGAGCTCAGAAAGACCTTGGAACATGCCTGTCTCACTCAACTCTTCCTGAAGACATACAATGTCGTTTCTTAACAATGATCTTGAAAATGTAGTATCAAGTGCGGAACGTAAGTAGGTTGGATATTAGGGAATCAGGGTCTTACACTGCCAGTTTATCAATAACAATGCTAATTAAGCAGTGTGCATTTAATTAGATACATGTGTTTATAATTGGGCATGCTTTTCATTTGAAATTTAGCTAATGGGAGCAATTAATTCTCTATGTTTAGCACTACAAGGCAAAATCCCTTCCTATGGGTTCACAATTATTCTTTCCTTCTTCATTGGAGACCATATATCACTGAAGGAAGCCCTTGCTTCCCCAAACAATTAAGCTGGAGCTTAGCTGCTAAAAGTAATGTGAGGAGGGATGAGGCCCTGGTACAGAGAAGGTATGTGAAAATTGTATAAAGTCAAGTGTAAATGATGGTTGAGTTTCTACCTTTACAAAAATTCAAAGCACTTCCATGATTTGAATTTATTCCTCTCCTCCTTTAAACATTTAACAAATCACAGTAAACAGGAAAATATAAACTACTGGAAATACTTATGCAAACTTAACTTTAATCCAGTTTCTTAAGTAATAGAAAAGATTATATTGAGTTATTTCAACGATTTTCCCAAAAGCTCATTAGGAAAATTAGCGTTGTTCTGGCTACCTCTTCAAGGCATCTTAGCATTCTGGTGTAGGGAGGAAGAAGCTGTAGTTAACCCCTTCATGCTCTCAAGGAATTGCAGCTTAGGACTTGGCAATTGTGCATGCACCTCACACTTGCTCTGTGCACAAGCATTTCCCCAGTGAGGGTCACCACTCACTAGTGTATAATAGAAAGCAGAAGTGACTCACACATTAGGTTTTGTAAAATGAATTTTAACAGGTGTGTGAAATTGCAGTATAAATTGTGCTTTTTTATTGTCAAGGTGATATATAGAGGGGTTTCAGTTACATAAATAAGTAAAGTAATGAGTACGTTTCTTGTCAACCTTGTTAACCCTTCCATCAATTTTCTCCTTGTTTCCCTCCTCTCAACATCACCCCCAAGTTGTACGGATTGTTTTCAACATATTATCTTGTGTATATCGCTGTTGCATTGGTAACCTCCTTGTCCTTTGTCTCCCCATTCTGTTGTTGTTCTTCCCTTCCCTAATCCAGATAAACATATATACAATAACAGGGTACCAAAATCAAATACAACATAGAATAGGGGGAAGAACCATAAGGGGAAAAACAAACAAACAAAAATGACATAGTACACTAAAAACAGCAATAAAGAAAAACTTCTTGTGTCCATGTCTTGGTGTTCATTTCGTTTAGCATCATCTTATATGGCCATATGTACATAGCTCTTGAGTGATTCTGCTCATCTGCTAAGATTATTGCAAATAAGGGACACCATGGGACCTATGTTTCTTAGGTTTGGCTTGCTTCACTTAATATGATTTTTTTTCCAAATCTTTCCATTTCCTTTAAATTGTGCTTTTTTGTTGTTGTTTTAATACACAAAGTTTGAAACCCACTGAAGTGATGCCACTGATTGAAGAAGTTTCTTGACAATCTCCCTTTGACCTAATAAGTGTTGAGCATTTCTGAAAATAAAAATCAATTTTTGTCTTCAAAACAGGTTTGGTATCATTGATTTTAGTGTATACAAATAAAAAACCTGAAATTCCTCTATATTTTTTTCAAGTTACAGTTGTATATTTTCAGAATGCAGTGAAATTAGACTATAAATCAGTTAAAAAATTCCCATCTCAGAAAATGAATAGCCACATTTAAATAACTTAAAAGCTGGGGTTTATATAGCAGCACACATACCTAAACAACATTGAAAAGATTAATGTAACCCTCACATAAGGATGTCATTCAAATTTGCAAAGTGTTCTATCTATATTTTTCATTTATATGTCAACTCTGGATTTGAATGATGTGCATTTGCATATATACTTATCTAGATTTGTGTATATATATATATATGTATATATGGCATTAAAGTCTAGGTATGTGTATACATGTACATAGATACTCACATACATACATATATATATATATTCATATACATAGAACTTGATTGTAACTATGAGATTTTTTGGAAGGATGAGAGGGCTTGGGAAGAAAAAGTGATATAGGTTGAGTAATATGCATTGCTTTCCTGTGTGACAGTGGCATAAGGATTCTCAATGAAAGCTGTTAAACAATAGAATGAGAATAAGAAAAAGAGCTATAGATGATTTTTTCCCTGATGAAAATATATATGCACATGCAAAAGTCTGTCAATTTTGTTAATTTTTTCGAAGAACCAACTCTTTGTTTTGTTGATTCTTTCTATAGTGTTTTTTGGATTCTAATTCATTTAATTCTGATTTAATTTTAATTATTTCTTTCCGTCTACTGGATTGGGGTTTATCTTGCTGCTCTTTTTCAAGGAGGTTCAGACGTCTCATTAAAATGTTGGTTTCAGATCTCTCCAATTTGTTGATGTAGGAACTCAGAGCTATAAACTTGCCCCTGAGTACTGCCTTTGCTGTGTCCCAGAGGAGCTGGTAATTTGTGTGCTCATTTTTGTTGAATATCATGAACATTTGAATTGCCTTTCCAATCTCTTCCATGACCCACTCGTGATTCAGCAGTATGTTGTTCAGCCTCTATGTGTTACAGGACTTTCTTTGGTGGCTTTTGGTATTGAGTTCTAATTTTATTCCCTTGTGGTCTGAGAGAATGCAGGATATAACTTCAGTGTTTCTGAATTTGGACAAGTTTGCTTTGTGATCTAAAATGTGGTCTATTTTGGAAAATGTTCCATGTGCTGCTGAGAAAAATGTGTAATCTAATGCTGCTAGGTGAAATATTCAGTAGATGTCTGTTAAATCTAGTTGTTCTATGCAGTTGTTTAGATCTGTGGTTTCTCTGTTGAGGTTTTGCCGAGTTAATCTATCTAGTGGGGATAGTGGTGTGTTAAAGTCCCCAACAATTTAATGTCTTTGGATCTATGTGAGATTTGAGGGAAAGTAGTATTTCTTGGATGAGTTTGGGTTCTCCATTGTTTCATGAATAGATATTTAGAATTGTAATATCTTCCTGAAGGAGAGATCCCTTAATTAGTATGCAGGGACCTTTTTTTTAAATCTCTTCTCACTAATTTTAATTTGAAGTCTATTTTATCTGATATTAGGATTGCAACTCCCGCCTGTTTATGGGGGCCGTTGATTTTATTCCAGCCTTTCACTTTCAAAATATGTTTGTTTTTATTGGCAAGGTGTGACTCTTGAAGGCAGCAGATATAAGGATCTGCAAACATATACTCTTTAAGCTCTTAGCACAATGCCTACTCTGTAAATGTTGACTATTCATTATAATTGTCATATTGTAATGTTACCATCAGAGTATCAAATGTACAATCAAATAGAATCAAATGATCAAATATGCAACTTTTTATAGTTTGAGCATTTAACAATAAAATATTTTGATGGAGAAATTATATTGCTAGATAGCTTGGTGACTCATTTCCTCTTCTTCTACCACTTCTTTTTTGAATTGGATATAATTATAGTATGAGTGTTTTATTGTGGTATTTCTATACATGCATGCAGTGTACTTTTAACAAATTTGCCTCCTGTGCCATATTTTTATCTTTCCTTCCTGCCTCTTTTTCAAAGTATTTGGTGGGTTTCATTATGCTGTCTCCATACATTTACACACACACACACACACACACACACGCACGCACGCACATACACACACACACACACACACACACACACACACCACGTCCTTTAATCCTCTCCCCTGTCTCAGTGTCTCAGTGTCCTCTCCTTTCTCCCCTCCCCTGTCCTGCTGATTCCTTCCTACAAGATTTTTTTTACACTTATGTTTCATTGCCATTAGTTATCATAATTTGAGTTTTGTTCTCCACAAATGAACAAGAACGTGTGAATTTGGCTTTTTGAGCTTGGCTTAATTAAGTAGCTTGACCTAAGGAGTTGATCTGTCCACTTTTCTGCAAAGGATATAATTTTATTTTTTCTTTGTAATTGAGAATTTGTTTCTCTGTTAAATATATACACATATGTGTGTATGTACACACACACACACACACACACATACACACCATGTTTTCTTTATCTGTCCAGTTGTAAGGCACTTCAGCCACGTTCACAGTTAGGTGTCTTTCCTATATATTGATTTATACTTCTTTGGAGATAGGCTGAAAAGTGGTATGGCAGGCTCATAGGTAGACTTATGTTTGGTTTTTTGAGACTAGTCCACGGAATTCCGTGATAGTTATACCAATTTACATATCTGTGTATATTGTGTAAGGGTTCCTTTTGTCCCCAAATCCTCCCCATTTGTTGTTGGTCTTCTTCATGATTGCCATTCTGACTCAGGTGAGATAGAATCTTCATGTAGTTTTGATTTGTACTTCCTTTATGTCTATGGATAGTGAACATTTCTTCATGCATCTATTAGCCATTTGTATTTCTTCTGAGGTATGTCTATTTAATTCATATAGTTATTTAATTGGGTTATTTGTTGTTACAATGTTTAATTTTTTTTGAGCTTGTATGTTCCATTGATTAGTTAATGAAGATTTACTCCCATTCTGTGGGTTGCTTCTTGATTCAGGTAATTAACTGCTTGGGTATGCAGAAATTTTTTAATTTGATGCATTCTCCTTTGTCATTTTTTGCTGTTATTTTCTGGGCAATTGAAGTCCTATTCAGGAAAAAAAAATTACCTGTTACCTAAGTCTTCAAGAGTTTTGCCTATTTCTTCCACCTTGAATGTAGAATTCATGGTCCCTTAGCCTAGATTTTTAGTTTTTTTTTTTTTTTTTTGTCAGTTGTGGGGCTTGAACTCAGGGCCTGAGTAATGTCCCTGAGAGATCTTTTCTTCAAGGTTAGCATTCTACCACTGTGAACCACAGCTCCACTTCCAGTTTTTGAGTGGTTATTTGGAGATAAGCGTCTCATGGGGACTTTTTTGCCCAGGCTGGCTTCAAACTATAATCCTCAGATCTCCACCTCCTGAGAAACTAGGATTACAAGCGTGAGCCACCAGCACCTGGCCTTAGCCTAGTTTTTAAATCAAATTGTTAGGCTATAATTAAAAAGATACATATTTTCCTAGTAGAATTTTCATATGATATAAAGTAAGGAAAATTTCCAGATTCATTATTTATGACTAGGCCGTTTTCATTTTGTAAATCAAACTGGTTCTACTTATTCTGTTCTGGATATTAAGAGGATACTAAGTAGACCACCTCACTAAGTATCTCAAATTGGTTTACTGTACATCACCTTGGAAACCCTTGAACATCTTCTAAGAAATTCTTGAAATATAGAATGTATTATTTGATGTGGTTATGTACCCAGAGCATTGGCTTTGGCCTTCATGGTCCAGTTTATTGCCAGCAGATCTCACAAGCATAGTGAGGAGGCTTTATACCCAGTACCTTTGCTCCCATTACTCCTTGGGTGGTGAGGTACACCTGGCCAAGTATTTCTAGGATGGCTCTCAGTATCAGCTCTTAGTATAGAGATAAACTGGAGACATCATCCCTCGAAATTTGAAATCAGATGTCTCAGGAAGTGATTTTTGACTGTGAATCCAAGTTATTAGTTTTGTTAAAGTATCCCATGCATACTAATCCAGATACTTGGTATCTACCTTTGCCTTCCAGGTGACCTTTATGGAGCCATAGGCTCTCCAGTGAGATTGACTCGTACTGTGGTTGTGGGGAAGCAAAAGGATTTGATCCAGCGCATTCTTTATGTTCTGACCTACTTTCTCCGTTGCTCTGAGCTACAAGAGAACCAGTTGACCTGGAGTGGTAACCACAGTGAAGGTGACCAAGTTTTAAATGGGAGCAAGATTATGACAGCCTTGGAGAAAGGAGAGGTGGAAGAGTCCGAATATGTAGTAGTTACAGTGAGAAATGAGCCTGCTCTTGTACCCCCCATCCTACCACAAGTGATGACTGAGCGGAGGCATCCTGGGCCCACGTGGTTAGCTGGGACCTCAGAAAGCACTGATACTAGAGATCTGAGTCCCAAACCTGATAGAGAAGGAATCAAAAAGCCAGAGAAGAATTCTGAGACTTACAGCATAGGATTCCAAGAGCCAGCACTAGACACTTCTTGGAAACCTCAGGGCACATCTTGTGGTGATGAAGAGAATGAACAAGAGGCACTACAAGGAAGCTCTTCAAGATTTCACTGTTGTGAGGTTCCTGGGGCAGGAATGATGAATCAACAAACTGTCCAAGAGCCGTTGAAAGGAGAGATGCTAAAGAAAGTATCAGACCAGCCAACAGCCTGGTCCTGCCCTGACAGATGTTCCTGGAAGGAGCCTCCCATGGGAAAGGTCACTTTCCAAATTGGAAGCTCTGTATCTCCTGAATCTGACTTTGAAAGCCGCACCAAAAAAATGGCAGAAAGGCTAAAAGCCTGTGAACAGTATCCAGAGGGAGCCAGTGCTTTGGCTGAGTCAGCTCAGAACCAGCAGGGCTCTGGGAGCACCTTCAATGCTGGCTTTCAGAGTGTCAGCGTTCCTCAGAACAGGCCTTCTGATGAGAAGGAAGGTGAATCTGACTGGAGATTTACTGAGGACAGAGGCACCAGAACCAGAACCATGGCAGATGCTGTGGGGCTGCTCAGCCAAGCTGTTGGCACACTTGTACCCTCTGACAGTGCACAGGGAACTGGCAGGAGAACTCTGGAGCAAACAGTAGGTTTGCACTTGAAAAGCAAGGAAAGACCTTCACCAGAGCCTGTTGCAAATACATGTGGACTTCAGGATTCTAGCTTCCTGGTTGCTGCAGATGTCCCCTGTGGGGATACCAACAGGAAGGCTGACTTTAGCATGGAAGGAGACATTCCCAGGAACGAAAGCTCTGACAGTGCTCTTGGAGATAGTGATGATGAAGCATGCATTTTAGCCACACTGGGCCTAGCTCACAGTGGTGATAGGACTGATGGGTCCTTGGAAGTGGAGTTGCCTCTGCCAAGGTAACACGGCTAGGCAGGGAAGCAAGGAGAGCTGGGACCCAATACTGTTACTGACCTGACACTTTGACCATGTTAGCTACTGTCGGCCTCTTTATACAGTTTGTTTTGTTTTCCTCTCAAAATATTAGAAGTGTTACCAAATCTATACAGTTTTTTTTTCAGTTTGTCCTTTTCTCATAGGATGTTCACTGGTCTAGTAAGAATGATCTCTCTGAGGGGAGGACTACTGGCTGAATACAATTATTGCGACATGGTGGTGGTAGTGCTAGGCAGCAGCAGGCTTAATTTTCTTTGATCTTCATGGAAGTATTTCTCAGCTTCTGAGGTCTTGCTTCTGAAGCAGTAAGACTGTAGCCTTGTCTGCTGCTGCTCAGAGCAGCATGAGGTAGTTAGGAAATAAGACTTCTTAATAATCCATCAGACTCTTTTTTTTTTGGTCCGGTTGTGGGGCCTGAACTCTGGGCCTGAGTGCTGTCCCTCAGCTCTTCAGCTCAAGGCTAGCACTCTACCACTTGAGCCACAGTGCCACTTCCGGCTTTTTTTTTCTTTTTGCTTATATGGTGCTGAGGAATCGAACCCAGGGCCTCAGGCATGCAAGGCAAGCGCTCTACCACTGAGCCAACTTCCCAGCCCCATCAGACTCTTTATTGTGATGACTGAAAATCATAACTAGAAAATGTTCTTGTGTTGTTCTACACTGTAGTGGGCACCACCCCTGTCCAGATACGTTACATTCCTAAAGCTAGACTTTTGGCAAGACCCTTTTCCCCAACTTTTTTTTGGGGGGGGCAGTCCTGGGGCTTGAGTCTGGATGCGTCCCTGAGCTCCTTTTACTCAAGGCTAACACTATATCACTTGAGCCACAGTGCCACTTCCAGCTTTTTCTGAGTAGTTAGTTGGTAGTAATTAGTTGGAGATAAGGGTCTCATGGACTTTTCCTGCCCAGGCTGCCTTAGAACCATTATCCTCAGATCTCAGGCTCCTGAATAGCTAGTATTATAGGCATAAGCCACCAATACTCAGCTCTAACATTTTTTCTTTACTCTTTGACACAAACTGCCTGATAGATGAGGTACAAGAATGAACTCTTACTCATCTATGGAAATAAAAACAAAAACAGCTCCCTTTTCCCTAATGTCCTCATTTTTGTTTTCCCACACTACTTACTGGAGACTGGTAGGTAGACCACACTGAAGCTATTTTATATTACTTATATCATTAGGGATTTTATTTCTGTTGTAATATCAGAAGGAAATATGTCTTGTAACTGTGTATTTAATAGTCCAAATATTGTTTTAGGTCTCACAGCATCAGCAATCCAAATGTAAGAAACTTTGGCCGCTCACTCCTGGCAGGTTACTGTCCTACATACATGCCTGATATGGTGCTTCATGGGACCAGCAGTGATGAGAAACTGAAGCAGTGTCTGATGGCTGATCTGGTTCATACAGTGCATGTAAGTGACCTCATCTTGGAGCCATTGGCTACTGAAAGTGTGATAGCCAAGACTATGGCCAGCAATGGGTGTTTTTACTGAAAACATCTACTTAGGAGATTGTATATACAGATGTAGGCAGGATAGGGAAACCAACAAGGGAGGGTAAAGTACTGTGAATATACATGGCCAGGACAAGAAAGCAGAGTTGATATGACAGCAAAGTTGTAGAGAAGATATGCTGGGAAGACGGACTGCCTGGATGGAGGGAAAGTAAGTGGGGTGATTGTACATCTGGCTGTCCCATCTTTCCCCTGTACTCTGGTCTCTTCTGGTATATTCCATTGGCCAGTCCCAGTGGGAAGCCTGAGAGCAAGGTCACAGCTAATGTGACTGTATCCTGTTATAATTAAGGTCAGGCTCCTTGGTCACAGAACAGGATAGGGAAGGGCAAAGAATGGATTTAATGATGAATGGGAGCGGGCAGTCTGGGCAAACTGAATAAATGGCACAGATGGTGGCAATAATATGTCATCACGGGGAGGACCAAAGAGATGTTGTATATTGTTTGCTTTTTATCCTATTCTTACAAGTTCCTAAAACTAATTTATTTTAACTGATTTGTCATTAAGTTCATTTTGATGGCTGCATAAAAATGGAAAATTGCCTTGTAGCTGCAGTTAAGTGGTTTTCTGTTATCTGCAGTATGACATGAAATAAGAAGTTAAGAAAATGATGTCAATCTGATGGACCTGTTAATTGAGCTGCTATTGGGCACATGCAAGAATAGATGTTTTGCATTAGAAATATAGTGTCTTTTGCAATAGGGAAAGTATTTTTGCATTAAGAAAATTGAAATTTGGCTTGCTGGCTCCTCACCCAATAATTTTTTTTTTTTTGTCAGTTGTGGGGCTTGAACTCTGGGCCTGGGCTCTGTCCCTCAGCTCTTCAGTTCAAGGCTAGTGCTCTACCACTTAAGCCACAGCACCACTTCCGGCTTTTACTGTTTATGTGGTGCTGAGGAATCAAACCCAGGGCCTCATGCATGCAAGACAAGCATTTTACCACTGAGCCACCTTTCCAGCCCAAGATTTTTTTTTTTTTGCAAGATAGAACAGAAGGTATTGCATGTTATCTTTGGCCTTGAACATGTTCTATGAAGGCAAAACACACATCACACACACACAGGCTAAGCAGGCTGAGGTAGGAAGAAGAACTCAGCAGGAAAGCAGATGTCCTCATGACCCCTCCATGGGGATGTGAAGAAATGTGAGGTGTTTGGGAGCGGGGCAAGGCCCATCCACTGTATATTCGTAGCCCCACCCCACTTTGTTATCGGACAGGACACATTCACCAGGATATTCCTGAAGTGTTTTCACACTGTAGCATTTCTCATTTCTTTAAACTCTTCAATCACCCCGAGATATGGAAAGTTATTAAGCTTAATAACCTGTATTGTGTCACATTGTGGATGACTCCAAAGTGCAGTCATGCATGGGTGTTAATAGGAAATTGTGAAGGGTTCATAAAAACATCTTTAGAAGTCTATTACATTTAGATTATAACCAATTATCATTAGTAATGGATTTCTAATTTCACATGTCATAGTCATCATCATGAATTTTGCTTTTGTCTATGTTTTAATTATATTTTTATTATCTTTAAGTAGTTATACAAACTGATTACCATTTAACATGTCACTTCATAAATATAGTGCATCTTGATTTATGTTGCCCCTTTCATCATTCTCCCTCATCTCTCCCACCTCAACTCCTCCCCTCAATTTTCTTACTTTCATGGGATATGCATTGAATATTAAAATTGCATTGCCCCCTGCTTCCTCTATCCATTTTTCTACCTCCCTTCCCTTGATCTCTTCTCATACACCTTTCAAGTACTAGTTTCCTGATACTAATTTTGTTGGACTGTGGGTTAGTTTTCTAAGGAATTGCATAGTTTGAATTCTCCACTGCGTATGCCATTTTGTATGTACTTGCATATAACTTCATGTTTGTTTACTTATACATTTATAAATTAGTTCTAGCTTCCACATATGAGAGAGAACATGACTCTTGTATCTCACTTCACTTAACATAATTTCTTCCAGGTCCATCCATTTCTTTGCAAATGATATAATATCATTCTTCCTAATGAACGAGCAAAATTCCATTGTGTTTATATATCACATTTTTTTGATGTGTTTGTCCATTGAGGGTCATCTTGGATGTTTTCATACCTTGGCTATAGTGAATAGTGCAGCACTGAATATCGTTGTACAAGTGGCTTTACTGTGTACTGAATTAAATCTTTTGGATAAATATCCAAGAGTGGTATTGTTGGATCATAAGGTAGTTTGTTGAGAAATCTACAAATGCTTTTCAGAGTAATTGAACAACTTTACATTCACACCAACAATGTATTATGTTTCCTTTTCTCCTATATCAGAGCTAGCATCTGTTGTTTGTGTTATTGATGATGGTCATTCTGACTGAGTGAGACAAAATCTGTGTTGTTTTGATTTACATTTTTTTAATGGCCAGAGATAGTATTTCTTCCTATGTCTGTTGGCCATTTTTACTTCTGAGAAGTCTGTATTTAGCTTTTTTGCTGGTTTACTAATTGGGTTATTGATTCTTTGAGGGTTTAGTTTCTTGAGCTGTTGAACTATTCTAAATATTAGGCTATTGTTTGATATATAGCTTGCAAAGATCATCTTTACATGACATATTCATTATCATGAATTTTGCTTTTGAAATATTGTTCACATAGACCGCCTCTCAGGCTGGCACTTTATGACAGTGGTTTTCTTTTTATGTCTTACTTCCAACTTATATTAATAAATGTTTGTTGGAAAAAATTAAGATTTTATTTGTTTTCCATCTTTTGACAAAAGGTATCACTATACAGTCTCAAACTCCTGATCATTCTGCCTCAACTGTGCACCTCTTTTGGCTGAGGAATATTTTTGAAAACAACATATTAAATTGACTGCCCCATAAATCATAGGGAGTATTTAAATTCTTGAGCTGTTGCAAGAGAAAGAAGGAAAGATCAAAAGGCAAATATGTAGCCAGAGTTGTAGGTGAAAGAATAACTTGTGGAAGAAAAGACTAGAATAAATTGTGTTACCATTGCTTGATTGGATTTAAATAATTTTCAGTGTCCATGTCAGACTTCACCAGGTTTTGATACTCCTAATTTTTTGGAGCTTCATCAGTTACTTCATCAGATATTCATAATTCTTTTTAGAGAAGGACTTCTTTGTGTGTATATGTGCCAATACTGGGGCTTGAACTCAGGTCCTCATTTTCCACTCAAGTCTGACATTCTACTTGAGCCATACATCCATTTACAGATTTTTTTTTGGGGGGGGGTCTGGTTGTGGGGCCTGAACTCTGGGCCTGGGCGCTGTCCCTCAGCTCTTCAGCTCAAGGCTAGCACTCTACCACTTGAGCCACAGCGCCACTTCTGGCTTTTTTCTTATGTGGTGCTGAGGAATCGAACCTAGGGCCTCATGCATGCAAGGCAAGCACTCTACCACTGAGCCACCTTCCCAGCCCCCATTTACAGATTTTTTGAAGGTTAAATGGAGATAAAAGTGTCAAGGACTTTTCTGCTCAGGCTGGCTTTACATTGTGATCTTCAGATTTCAGCCTTCTAAGAGCTAGGCATGAACCACCAGTGCCTGGCTAGAGAAGGACTTTCCATATCTGTTTAAAAGCAATTGACTTATGTTATTGAATTATTTTCTAGCCCTATTTATGACTTGTATCCCCAAATCTGTCTTCATAAATTTGTACTTTTATTACCGCAGTAGATTGTTTTAGAGTTTTTCTCCAGAGCCTGAGGGGTTTCCTTTTGAGAACTTCTAGTACCAAGATTTTCCTTTTGTACTTTTCTATGTCCTAATCTCTTATGGAAGCATATTAACTTTATTTACATTTATTTTCCCATTATTTTTCACACATTAAAATTCAGATTCTTGTTTAGTCCATGTATTATCTCTTTGCTGCTAACATCTGCCTTAAATTAGTCTAAAGTAATACTGTTTTAGTTTTTTCTAGCTACATCTGAATATGCATTCTTTTGTTTTCTTTTTGGCTTTAAGTGGAGAGAGAATGGACATGCAGCAAACCAGTAGTACTCTGGACCTGTGACCCTCAAGTAGCCTTTTCTTTCTTTCTGTGTCTTGTCTACCTGTAAATGCTACCAACCAAGGTAATATCAGGGTTATCCAACGAGGCACCAGAGTAGAGCAGGCAGTGGAAAACATTGGTAGCTTGGGTGCAAATCCTGTTATCCACATTCATTCCCTGATAATCTTAAATAAATCAGCTGGCATCACAGGCCTCAGACTGGAAATAGGATTCAGTTGTTTTTTGTTTGTTTTGTTTCTAATTTTTTAATATTATCTTTAGGGTTTCAGATTCAATATGTCAATTTATATGTACAATGTGTCTTGATCCATATGACTTCTTCCATCCAGTTCAGTTGTTTTGAGTTTGATATCTCTAAACAAACATGAGTTTAAAGTAGAGCTCAGTCCTTAGTAGCTTTTAACCTTGGGATAATTTATTTTAATTTTCTCATCTCTAAAATGAACAGTACTGGGATCACAGGTTCAATTTGGACATTCTATGAGAAAGTCTATATCAAGTGTGTAGCACAGTGCCTTGAATTCTACTAAATCCACCAGAAAGTTAGCTATTAAAATAATATACATGAAAGTGCTTTGTAAACAAAAGTAATATGAAGTGCTTTTAATATGGAGAGTATATGACCAGTGTTATTTTAATAAAAATCGAATTCCTGTCTGAGTTTGGAAAGACACATACAGATGTATTTAAAGTTCTCCTGACTGATGATATTGATGGTCATCAGTCCCACAAAGCTCCTGTTGAAGATTGCTGAACAGAACCTTCTTCATACATGGGGCCAGCAGCTTTGCTGTAGGGCCACAAGCCAGATAGCTCTTAACTTCTCTGATGAGTATAGTCACCAAACCTAAAATCAGAATCACA